CAACACATAAGTAACACCCGAGCCTGAGCATGTTCAGAGGTCGTCTTTAGATGGGCAGCTACTGGGAACCAAGACCGAGCCGATGTTCGCGACGCTGGGGCGAGGTGCGCCACGCGTGCCAGGCGCGCCACGCGCGCCAGGCACCCCTGAGGCCCGAGCGTGCCAGGCAAAGCTGGTGCGCCAGATGCGCCACGTGCCTCCGCGTGCGCCAGGTGTGCCGCATACTCCAGCCGCACCAGGTGCGCCACGTTCGGGACAGGTGCAGAGTGTGTCAGGTGCGCCTGCGCACGCGAGAGCACACATCGGGAAACATGTCGGCCCCCACCATCCATGTCGAAAGCCAATGCCCATCATTGTGTCTGGTGGGCCTGCGCACAGCAGGCCGTACGCCACCACTTGACAGTTATCGTGGAGCGGCCGCGCATGATCCAGATTTAGCCGCGAGGTGCACTTTGTATAGTGTCTTGTCGGGGATGATAGCTTTGCGCACAGCAGGCAATATGCTGACACCCCCGCCGTCCCTGTCAAAAGCAAGACACAGTACTCGCGGGCCTCACGAACATGACTCCAGATGTTGCCCCAAAGTGTATGTTGTACTGTGTTTTGACGGGGATGGTTGGGGGGAGCATCATGTTGACCGCGCATGCTCCACATGTGGAGGCAGAGAACGTTTTGTATTGTTTTTTGGCATGGATGGTGGGGGAGGGGCCCTCATGGTTCCTGGTTGGCGGCCGGTCGCCTGGGGAGGGGGTGTATATGAATAGGGAATACTGATCAAGACACCCCCTGGCTGGCAAGCCGTCTAGCTCACTCCCAGCCGCCCTCCCAACACATGAAGAACACCTCCGTAGCCATTTTGGCTCAAGCCATTTTGGCTCAAGAGCTCGCGCAGAGTGCAAACTGCTCCTCTTCGCAGCGTGAAGCAATCGGTTCAGCAGGCGCGAAGCCTGAGACCATGATCTACATCGCCCAGGGCATCAGTGGGCTCTGCAAGCTCCCTTGCACCCTCTGCAAGGGTTGCTGCGACATCTTCAAGAACTGCTGCGCGGCCATTGGTGAATTCTGGGAGCCCGTCATCAACAACCCCCTTGGGAACTACGTCATGGGCACCTGGGTCGGCATGATCATCGCGGGCGCGGCAGCAATCTGGGCCGTGGGAATACTCGGTGACTGCACAGATGACACCGAGAAGAATCAGCTGATGGGTTTCTGCCTCGTGGACATCATCTTCGCCGTTATTCATTCTGGTATGGCGTACTACATGCAGAGGCAGATCATCAAAGGCCTCGGCGGCAAGGACTTCAAGGAGATGTCCGCCAAGGAGATCCAGGAACAGGCTGGCCAGATCCTGCTCTACGACGTGCCAGTGTGCCTGTACTCCTTCTTGGCCTGTGCCGCGTTCGGGGTCAACTGCTGGGGCCTCACCCTCCCCACCTGCGCCGGGGTCAGCAACCAGCCGCACACGGGCCCGGCGGCGGTGATGCTCGTCTGGGGCCTCCTCGCCGGCGGCTACCTCTTCTGCTGGTACTGCTGCCAGTGCTGCCAGGGCACCGTCGCCAAGGGCAAGGGGGGCAAGGGCCCCGGCGCCCCTCCGCCCGAGGCCGTCGGGGCCAGCGCCTGAGGCGGCGAGCGGGCGCTCGGCCGCGGGCCGCTCGCCAGGGGCGACGGCCGGCATGCGGCCGAGGCACCCCTGCGAGCCTTCTCTCGGTGCCGTCTGGGCCAGGGTGGCATGCTTGCAACGCATTGACGCTCTCGTGCGGAGCGCATCCAAGGACCAGCGCACTCAAGTTTGAAAGGCTCAAGAACTCGTTGTTCGAGTAGACTGACGTCCGAACATCTTCAGAGGCAGGGTCGAGTTTGCGTAGCTCCACACGTGAGCTGGACCGCACACTTACCAGTGATGTTTTCGAGTAGGTGGCCTTATCTGCGCATGCACCCCGACAGGAGAAACCTCTTTAGGCCGTGCGTGGCTTCGTCTTTGCGCCTGCTCTCGTAGCGCTCTCTGGAGGCAGAAACAAAAAAAACATGAAGAACACCTGAGCCTGAGCATGTTCAGCGGTCATCTTTGCATGGGCAGCTACTGGGAACCAAGACCGAGCCTATGTGCGCGACGTTGGGGCGAGGTACGCCACGCGTGCCAGGCGCGCCACTCGCGCCCCGAGCGTGCCAGGCACAGCTGGCGCGCCAGATGCGCCACGTGCCTCCGCATGCGCCAGGTGTGCCGCATACTCCAGCCGCGCCAGGTGCGCCACGTTCGGGGCAGGTGCAGAGTGTGTCAGGTGCGCCTGCGCACGCGAGAGCACACATCGGGAAACATGTCGGCCCCCACCATCCATGTCGAAAGCCAATGCCCATCATTGTGTCTGGTGGGCCTGCGCGCAGCAGGCCGTACGCCACCATCCCCGCCGTTCCTGTCAGAAACCATTTGGCAGTGATCGCGGGGTGGCCGCGCATGATCCAGATTTGGCCGCGAGGTGCATGTTGCACTGTTTGGTTGTCAGGTATGGAAGCCCTGCGCACAGCAGGCAATATGCCGACACCCCCGCCGCCCCTGGCAAAACAAGACAGAGTACCCGCGGGCTCACGAACGTGGCTCGAGCATCTCCCCAGAGGTATACTTCGTATGGGTTTTTGGCAGGGGTGGCGAGGGAGGGGGGGCGCATCGGGTGGGCCGCGCATGCTCCAAATGTGGAGGCAGAGTGTGCGTGGTACTGTGTTTTGATAGGCATTGGGGTGGGTGAGCATGGTTCCTGGCTTCAGAGCGTGAATTACCTACCCCGCTTTCGCTTCCAGGCAAAACCAAGTCATACCATACGCCTCCTCGTCAGGCGGCCTGACCAGTACATGCCGTAGTTTGGCATCGCTTGGTATCTCTTGGAAGCGAGGGTAGTCAAAAGCGAGGTAGGTTTGTTTGCCCCCTATGGTTGGCCGCCTGTCGCCTGGGGGAGGGTGTGTGCATCTATCAGTAGGGAACAGTCGTAAACCCCTCCCCCGAACAGGGGAAGAAAGGGTTTTGTCAGAGAGAGACGACAAGAGTTCGTTAAACCACCTACGCACGCGACGACGAGGCTTATGACATTTGTGCTAGCACACGAGATTTGCACGCGCTGCCGCCGTCCAGGAGTCGCATGTGGCCTCGCGAAGTCCACCACATCGTTCCCGTCCTTCTGCCTTCCCCTCCGCCCCCCTGTTTCATCCACCCCCTTGTGTCATACGCCTCCTCTCCTTCCACCCCCCCCATTACCTCTGCGCCGGACCTCCGTCCCACAGCCTCCTTCTTCCTGCTTTCCCCCCACTTGTCTGCCTCGTCCTCCGATTCCCAGCGTGGCTCGCCTCATTCCTACTTCCCTGCCCCCTATTCCTTGCCCCGCCCCCCGCATCCGACCTCCCTCATTGCTGTTCCTGCATCCATCATTATATTCCTCTTGTCCCATTCTTTCCTCCATCCTCCATCCCCGCAGTCTTCTTCTCATTCGTATGTACATAACAGTATATACGCAAATGTGGATCCATGCATATATAATTAATTGCTTGATTTCCGGCTAAATTTCAAAGGTTGTCGAATCCCCAGGCGTATTGGTTGGACGGGCTGCGCATTTTGCTTTACATGTTTTCGCAATTTACGGAATGAGCATGAAAATCCCTAGCAACTGCAATGATGGAGCGCGGCTCATTTTCAAAAAGGAACCTGGGAGGCGTTTCGCCAGCCGCCCCAGTCGCAGGCAGGGCTCCGCCGCCGCCCGCCGCTCTGCGCCAGGCGCAAACGGGCTCAATCTTGCAGTCCCGTGGGGCCTCGCTGTCCGCGAGGGCGCCCAAGCTGGAACCCGAGTCCCCGCCTCCTGGCACCAGGCCCGCCGGGCTTGCTGCATCTGTGCATCGCTGGCGCAGAGAATTGCCGAGCGGTTCCCGTGTCTGGCTTCGGCGCGAAGCACCTGGACTGGCTGGGCACGTTTGCACTCGCCAGGCAGCCTGGTTGAGCCGCGGGCGCACGCGAGCGCGCTGCCTGGCCGAAGGCCAGGCGCTGACGCCGTGGGCGGCTGCGCAGCGCCCGGCGCCCCGACGTGGCGGTGAGCCGCTTGGCGCTCCTAAGGGGTGCTGGCCAAGCAGGCGGCGGCGCCGCCGCCACATTTCCGCGGGCTCGAGGTGGCTGTCGCAGGCGTGGATTCGTTCCGGCGCGAGGTGGTCGCCTGGTTGGTCAGCCATTGGGCCGCGCAGGCGGGACTGATCGTGGCCGTCCCAGCGCTGGCAGCGCTCCAAGAAATCGCGGAGCTGGGCAGGCGGCCGCAGGCTCTGGTCGGGCGACCTGGCGTCGTTGAGGTGCGGCCGCGAGGCGGTGGAGGAAAAGCCCATGGACACGCTCGGACGGGTGGCGGCCCAGTCCACGTCGGCCGCGGCTTCCAGCCCTGGCGCGCAGAAGCCTCGCAGTGAGGCAACCCGTTCCCCGCCCGCAGCGCCCGGCCGGCGACGCTGTGGCCCTCTACGCCGGCTGGCTGCGCCAGCAGCCCCAGCAGTTGGAAGCGCTGGAGGAGTTGCGAGGCGCGCGGCTCAGCTGCCTCTGCGCCGCGAAAACTCGCCGTGCCTCGCCGACGCGCTGCGGGCACAGCTGGCTTGGCGAAGCCCTGGGACGCGGCGGACTTTCTCAATGGAGCAGCACGCGGTGCCAGCGCTGGTCATGATTTGCTTACGTGTCAAATCCATGGAGCCCTTGCGCGACCAACAATTCAATCTTTTCCACCTATTACCGGTATTACCGTTCACTATCGTCGAATACGGTTTGCTACCACATCGCGTATCTGATGTGCTCTGATGTGGCAGACAGTGGCACCATTGCAGGGTGGGCGCCCTCGAAAGGTTCGTGAGGGCATGATGTCGCCACAGGATGTCGGCGGGCGCATGTCGGCGGGCGCATATCATGTGATGGCATAGTATGCCATCACAGTGGCGCTGGTTTGAGAGTTGACACCCATTCGTTCACAGGTACTTGGATGCGTCCCTGGCAGGACGCGGATGCGAAGTTTTGGAACTGGAGCACGGCGAAGCTGATTGTGTCGCGCAGCGCAAGGCCACACATCAACATCTTGGAGTGCGAGACGTCGTTGATGGCGCTGCGGTGGCGCGCTCGAGCAGTCGTTCGGCTGGGCCGCGTCTTCCTGCACTTGCTAGACATCACGGTCAGCACGGGCAGCCAGCAGCTCAACAAGGTGGCGCGGGCCTACAGAGTGTTGGATTTGGCTAAGGTTGCACGACTGGGTATTTAGCTCCACTTCCCCTGCCAAGAACTCAGCGGACGCGCCGTCACGCCTGCTGATTAGCTAATTCAGCGATCATCGTCCGCCAGGAGATGCACCACCCGAGCTGCGGTGGGACGATTGCCCGACGCACGGATAAGGCAGATCGCGTTGCGTCGACCGCCGCGCGCGGCAGCCGCTCGTTGACTATATGAGTGCCCTGCGTCTGCAGATGCCAACGACATTGCAAGATATGGCTCCCCGACCGTGGGATTCAGAGCACTGGAACGACGAAGGGTCAGGCCAATGCCACGCTGAGCGGAGTGCAGCATCTGTTGCGCTCGAGGCGGCATGGCGGATTTTGTCCGTCTGGGGCCGCCTAGAGGCGCCCAGCCGTGCGCAGCCGATGCCACTTCGCGTCAAGTCCGTTCTAGCCGGTTCGGCGCTGGAGAAGGGAATGGATGATTTCGCGGCTTGCGTCCGTGCCAGGCTCCACCTCTGCATGCAGACAGGCAGCCTGCTCGGCCTGGTACTCGCCGCGGTCCAGCTAGGACACGGTGACCAACGAGAACGTCACAGTTGACGACCCCTAGGTGGGACGTTGGTGTCATCGCAGACTCGTGCTCGACTCTGCTGGCTTGCGTTGGCCTTTGTCCCCCGAGACCTTCCACGCCACCTTTCGAGAAGCGTTCTGGCAGGAATCGGCTGCGCTCATCTCCAGCCATCGCCCGACAGCCCCCGTAGGAAAGGGACGATTCGCGAGTTTGTGAAGCCTGGCGGTCTGTTCAAAGTAAGGACGAGAGGGTGGTGGAGCTGCACCCCGACTCGCACTGCCAATACAGATTCACCACACAGTGCCTGCACTTGGGGTTAAAAATTTCGCCTGCTCAAGGACAGGATGGGCACGCGGGGGGGTTCGGCTGGCGCCCGCTTGGTGGGCGCCTCGTGGACGCCTCGCGCTGGGGGGTGCGCCGAGGTTTCGCCTGGTGCTCGCCCGTGGGCGCTCCTCCGCCTCCGCCTCCTCCGCCTACTCCTCCTCCTCCTCCTCCTCCTCCTCCTCCTCCTCCTCCTCCTCTTCCTCCTCCTCCTCCTCCTCCTCCTCCTCCTCCTCCTCCTCCTCATCCTCCTCCTCCTCCTCCCCCTCCTCCTCCTCCTCCTCCTCCCCTCCTTCTCCTCCTCCCTCTCCTCCTCCCTCCTTCCTCTTCCTTCCTCCTCCTCCTCCTCCTCCTCCTCCTCCTCCTCCTCCTCATCCTCCTCCTTCCTCCTTCCTCCTTCCTCCTCCTCCTCCTCCTCCTCCTCCTCCTCCTCCTCCTCCTCTTCCTCGCGGGCGTCCGTGGGCGCCCCGCGTTGGGGGGCACGCCAAGGCTTCGTTCTGCGCCCGCCCGCGGGCGGCTCAGCGGGCGCCCGGGCGTCGGGTGGGCATGCCGAGGCCTCGCCTGGTGCTCGCCCGCGGGCGCCTCGCAGGGCGCCGCGCGCCTGGCACCGCGCAGGTCACGCCGCAGTAGCTCACACCACATTTATACGTGCATGCATATAGACATATGCACATTTGCATAGACACGTACGCACATGCTATATATATACACATATATATAAATAAATAAATACAAATATATATATATATATATATATACATATGCACACATATAGATATATGTATATATACTCATACATGCATGCGTCAACCAAAATCAAAGATTCGACCACCCTCTCGAGCCTGGGCTCGTCGGTCCCCCCTGGGACAGCGCCCCGTTCGTGATGTGTGCGTTTTTTCTCCTCCTCCTCCTCCTCCTCCTCCTCCTGCTTCAATCAGAGCTTGCCTCTGTAGGGGTCCTAGCGGATTCATTCCCCAATCAGAGCTGGCCTCTGTAGGGGTCCTAGCGGATTCATATGGTTATGTGAGGTACGGCGCCGATTTCGGCGGCACGCCCGGGTGCCCGGGTGCCCTGGTGCCCCGGTGCGGTGCCCGGTAGCCCTATAGCCATATAGCCCTATAACTTTAGAGCCGTATAACCCTATGGCCCTGGCCCTAAAGCCCCATAGCCCTATAGCCCCATAGCATTATAGCCCTGTAGCCCTGTAGCCCCATAGCCCTATAGCCCTAAAAAGATTATGATTGGGTTGTTTCTCTGGTATCCTTTGGGGCTTTTCTCTTGTATCATATGGTTAGGTGAGGTACGGCGCCGATTTCGGCGGCACGCCCGGGTGCACGGGTGTTTGGCTTTTTGTTTCTGGTAGGGTGTATAGTCTGCCCATCGTTCATATATGTATTTACACACATATGTACGAAAGTACGTCTACATATCCACCTCCCCTTCTTCTGTACTTTTTCCTGCTGTAGGGAATCACTTTGAGATGAGTCGGTCACATGTGGCTTGGTGCTCTCGAGGCCGTGCTCAAGCCCAGACGGCAGGCGGCAAGACAGAGACAGAGAGAGAGAGAGAGACAGACAAAGAAATAGAGAGCGAGAGAAAGAGAGAGAGAGAGAGAGAAAAAACAAAAAACAAAAAAAAAAAAAAAAAAAAAAAAAAAAAAAACATTAGAGAGAGGGGGGGGGCACGCTGAAGGAATGGCGGAACGAGCGGGACAGTGGTGCACTTCTTTTGCGATGGGCACGAGGAAAGGTAATCATTAAAAGAGACGCGCTTCAAGGTGGCGGAGAGCTTCCTGACTGGGTACCGACAAGGACTTTCCAGCTTGCAGCTCTATTCAATATTGCTCGTGTCGCGCAAGTGTCTGCGAGAGGGAGGGCTGTCGTTTTGACATGGCGGTTGTTGTCTCTTGACGTTGTGCCACATTCGATTGAGCCTTAGTTGATTTGATCTTCCGTCCGATGGTGAGAGGTGAATTCGCGGCCCAGTGGCAAGGGCATGGTGTCCTCTGGGCGTTTCCTTGCGATCGCCGTGTGAACGCTGCGCCCCTGGCGACAGGGATGCACCATGGTCCTTTCTCGGGCCCCTGCCCCCCGAACAAAAGCACGGAGTCCGTGCCCGCGTCGTGCACCTGCTGCTGCCGCTGCTCCTTGGCCCATCGGGAGACGACGGGCTGGAGGCCCCCCGCCCTCCGCAGGTGTGCCGGGCCTCTGCGCGGCACGGTCTCCCCGCGGGCCCCCGCGAGAGTCCGTCGAGCGACGCCGCCGGGAAGGGAGCAGGGAGGCCCGCGAGGAGCGGCCACGGGAGCCCGGAGGTCCAGCGCCGTGCCTTTCGTCGCATCGCGGCCCCCCGAGGTCTGCCTCCCCCTGCTCCCTGAGATCCTGGCGTCCCCCTGCTCCCTGAGATCCTGGCGTCCCCCTGCTCCCTGAGATCCTGGCGTCCCAATATGTTTTCGAGCCCTGCGTGTTCGCCTCGTCTCGGGCCCCGGGACCCTCACAGATCGGTGCGGGCTCGAGAGAGGACGCAGAAAAGGCGGGGTTTATAGGGCTCCGTTCGCTCACGATGCTTCCGTTTTTTCGCGACGTCGGATCTCATGGCTGGGGACGGTTTTCGTTCCCAGTCGTTGATTGACGGTCCACAGGGCCCGGTGATGGGGGCCCCGGATGTCAACTAAAAGTACCAAGCGCCTCTCGTCGTGTTCTTGTTGTTTGCAGCGCGAGGGTGTCACTGTGGGAGGGCCCCCTTTCTGCAGGCTCGAGTGTCTGAGCCCTCGCCGTCGCCGGCTGCCGAGCAGCGCGCTCCGTGTTCGTTTCCGCGCGATCAAGAGGGACAACCAGGCACACAACACACAAGCAAATGTCGATTCCCAAACAAGTCTTGGAAAATATTGGAAACGGAGGGGAAGAGTAACATCCAGTAAAGATTGACAGATATTGGAAATCCTGTCTCCCCTGGGTCCCGTCCTTTTTTGGGCCTGCCGCTACCGTTCCTCCTCCTCCCCCTCTTTTGCCGGGCTCAGCCCGAGGCAGTCGCGACCGATGGGGCCCGTCACGGGCAGGCAGCTCGAGGCGAGCTTGCGGCGGCCCCTACCGCCAGCGAGGGAGCCACGCCGGCGGCGGAGGATACATGCCTTGTTGCAGGTCCGCCCAGATTTCTCGGATCGTCGTTGAGGCCTCCTGGCGCGCTCCGCGCGCCAGGGAGGGGCGTCCATCGCCTATCCAAGAATTCTGTGCGGACCTTTACAAGTTGATGCTTATATCATGTATTGAACAATCCCAGCCTTGGCTGGGAAGGCGAATCTCCCACCATGCCCCGGGGCTCTGCGAAGCCCACGAGAGGCGGCTCATCTGGGAGGGGCAGGTCGGCCGGCGAGGTTTGCTCTGGTGGTGGGGGGGGCCTGCGGTCAAGCAGTGGCGAAGCGTCCTGGCTCGCCCATAGCGCTACCAAACAATGTTCTAAGAACCTTTTGTAGCTTCCGCGAAATGATCTTCGAACATTTCTGGCGGAGTCTATCTTGTGTATCACATCGGGCTAATGTTCTAAGAACATTATTTTTGTTATTAGAACATGTCTGGGTTCTAAGAACATTCCGTGGCAGGACTATAAGAATGCCGGGACGGTCGGTCCCTGCTCAATCCAGGCGAAACGCACCTTTGGACAGGTCCGTTGGGCCGAGCTTCCCGAATGCCCAGAGAGGCAGACTGCCGCAAGCAGGATGGCCGCTCAGAGCTTCAGTGCCTGCCGCGATATCGACCCCCCGGCCGCTCCCGGCGCGCGCTCTAACTAGGATCTCGGGCCGAATCTGAACCCAGGGCAGCGCAAAGAAAGGCCTTATATCCACGACCGCCCGTCGTGGTTTCTTGTGCAACGCCTGGGAGGCAGGTCCCAGGGTCGGAATTCGGCCCTTGGCCTTTCCCGGTGGTGTCTTCTGGTCAGAACTTAGAGGCGCATCCAGCCGTGACCACGCGACGCCTCCCGGAGGCCAACAAAACCGAAACTGTTGGCCAGCGTGGACCCCGAATCGTGAGTCAGTACGTTGTGCAGGTGAACGCTACGAGGTATGAGCTCATGCGGTGTAAGCTATGTGCTGTAAGCAATGCGGTGTGAGCTATGTGGTGTGAGCTACCCGGTGTAAACGCCGTGTAAACTACGTGATTCGAGCCCATGCGGTGCAAGTTGCGAGGTGTAAGATATGCTGTGTCAGATATGTGGTGTGAGCTATTCGGTGTGAGCTATGCGGTTGCGTTTTGCGGTATATGCTATGTGGTGTACGGCATGCCGTGTAGGTTATGTTGTGCGAGTTCTGTGGTGTAAGCCTTGTTCTGTTAGCTATGTGGTGTAAGCTGTATCGTGTGTGCTATTTGGTGTGAGCTGTTTGGTGTTAGCCATGCGGTGTGCCTACGATGCGCCCGCGAGGTGCCCACGTGGCGAAACCTCGGAAATCAACCCAATTCACTGGCCGTCCACGAGGCTCCCACAGGCGGGAGCGTAGCGAAACCTCGGGAGACCGTTATCCCATGACCTCTGGGACCCGAGGAAGAAGATCCCCACGCGCAGGCACTGCTTGTAGGACGAGGGCCCAGAAAACCTCAAGACCTGGGCCCTCGAACCTCGGGCTGCCGCTCGCCAGCTGGCAGCTGCAGGGCGGCCCTTGTTCTGGATTGGGCGC